TAGCTTTAGAGAACTCCGTGATAGGTTAGAGGAGAGAAAAAGGGGGGGTTGTATGGAAGTAGTTTGAATGCCATCTTTCCTTCCTTTCTTAAACAAGAGAGTTCCTTGGGTCTAACAGGCCTCATCCAAGAAGACATGCATGCTCAATGGGCATCCTCTGCCCTCTGGTCCTGAGTGAGAGAGGGAGTGACATTCTCAGGTCAGTGGGCTCGTGCCTCTGTGTCCACCCCTCACAGTGGTGGGTCACTCCAGCTCATGGCTTCTTGTCCTTCTGCCCCTCAGGACTGTGGACTGTGGGGGAGGCACCTTCTGTTCATTCTCTTAGTTAATGTGCCTCTTCCTAGTAGGATTCTCAATTCTAAAGATGCCTGTTTGAGTTAAATCCCTCTTGGTCACTTTTTTTTTTTTTTAAGATACATAGAGGGAGCTTGAGAGATTGCTCAGCAGTTAAAAGCACTTGTTGCTCTTGCCGAGGTCCCTGATTCAGTTACCAGAACTTACAATATGGCTCACAACCATCCATGACTAGTTCCGGGGGATCCAATACCTTCTTCTGGTCTCTGAGGTACTGCATGTATGTAGTGCACAGACATACATATCCACAAAACCATATATGTAAATAAAAATAAACCTTTTTTGAAGATACACACAGAGACATGTGTATGTACCCATGAGCACACACAGCATTTGCTTTTCATTAAATCCCTAGGGACATGAATATTAGCAAGGGCTGACTTGGTCTCTAAATCCCAGGTACTTTGACAGCCTTCACAAGGGCCAGCCCTCCCCAGCACTGTGACTGCCAGGTACTCATGACTAATGGCCTCTTCCTGTTTCTGTATCTACTGTCCCCATTCATTGTATTGATGGATAAATGAATAAATGGGTGAGTGAATAAAGGGAGGAAGGAACACAGTGACCAATGACTCAATGGAAGACAGACCGAGAAAAGTGTACCCAGGTGCAACAACTGCTGAGCTTGCGGACAGCAGGCTCTGGGGGACACCCGGACATGGTCCCAAAGTGTACAGACAATGACAACTCTCACTCCTTTGGCATCACATGGGACCGGGACAGTCATCCAGTCCACTCATCTCACTGTCCAGCTTTTCAGAAGCCGATGAGTCAGCAGGGAGAGAACACAGACATGAATTAAGGCACAAACGTCCCAGATCTCAATAGTGCCGACGCTTCCTGTGACTTGGGGGCAGATCACCTTCCAGTTAGCATATGTTTAAACTGGAAAGAGCAGTTATTTTTATATCTAACGGAGCATCTAGGAATTATTTGATGCGCCTTGCTTTTGTGTTTCGTCTTGTTTTGGTTCGTTGTTTGACTGATCCTCCCCTTCCGTCATCCCGGACCCACATGGAAACCCTCAGACAGCCACCATTAGGGAAAGTCGTTGCTGTAGGATTAAACGCTTTCATCTGCACTGTTAGGCCTGGGAGCTGGTTTTGGGGGAACTAACACATGTGATTATCTGATGATGAAGGAGAACAAGGGGCAGACACTCAATAAACATTTATTGACCCGCATGGGATCCAGGCCTCACCCTGCTCCCTACTCCCATTAAAGGCAAATCTGTTCCCAACTTCCCAGCCCTCTCTGGCTCATACCTCTCCCAAAATACTCAGAGACTGCCTACCATGTGGCTGGCTCTGTACGGCTACTGTGAATGTGTTGGGGACAAATTGGAAGAGGTCTCCCTGACTCATGAAACTTACAATGTTCAGAAGCAAACAGGCTGTAACAAGCACCCAGGAAATGCCCAGTTTACTGCCAGTTACACACAAGGCTCCAGCAGATGGGGAGAGAGCAGGTGAACCTCAGAAGACAGAGCAAAGGAAGTCCTTCTTAGAAGGGAGTTGAAAGCGGTGGTATGAGGAGCTGAGCTAGCCAAAACCAAAACCAAAATCATGAGAAGTGCTTCGGGCAGCAGAGATAACAGAATGTGAGAAGGTCCCAGGGGGTCAGGTGGTGTTACAGTGTTTGAGGATTAAATGCCCTCTATAGCTGGGCAGTGGTGGCACACCTCTTCAATCCCAGCACTTGGAAGGCAGAGGCAGGTGGAACTTTATGAGTTCAAGGCCAGTCTGGTCTACAGAGTGAGTTCCAGGACAGCCAGGGCTACACAGAGAAAACCTATTTCCCAAAAGAAGAAAGAGAGAGAGAGAGAGAGAGAGAGAGAGAGA